CACTGAGAACACTAATACCAAACACTGAGAACACTAATACCAAAACATGAGAACACTAATACCAAACACTGAACACTAATACCAAAACACTGAGCCTAAGAACATTAATACCAAAACACTGAGAACACTAATACCAAAACACTGAGAACACTAATACCAAAACACTGAGGACACTAAACCAAAACACTGAAACCTAATACCAAAACCTGAGAACACTAATACCAAACACTGAGCGCTAAGAACACTAATACCAAAACACTGAGAACACTAATACCAAAACACTGAGAGATAAGAACACTAATACCAAAACACTGAGAACACTAATACCAAAACGCTGAGAGATAAGAACACTAATACCAAAACACTGAGAGATAAGAACACTAATACCAAAACACTGAGAACACTAATACCAAAACGCTGAGAGATAAGAACACTAATACCAAAACACTGAGAACACTAATACCAAAACACTGAGAACACTAATACCAAAACACTGAGAACACTAATACCAAAACGCTGAGAGATAAGAACACTAATACCAAAACACTGAGAACACTAATACCAAAACACTGAGCGCTAAGAACACTAATACCAAAACACTCAGAGCTAAGAACACTAATACCAAAACACTGAGAGCTAAGAACACTAATACCAAAACACTGAGAACACTAATACCAAAACACTGAGAACACTATACGCAAAACACTGAGCGCTAAAACCTACCAAAACCACTGAGAACACTAATACCAAAACACTGAGAACACTAATACCAAAACACTGAGAACACTAATACCAAACACTGAGAAACACTAATACCAAAACACTGACGCTAAGAACACTAATACCAAAACACTGAGAACACTAATACCAAACAACTGAGAACACTAATACCCAAAACACTGAATAACCACTAATACCAAAACACTGAGCGCTAAGAACACTAATATCAAAACACTGAGAACACTAATACCAAAACACTGAGAACCCTAATTCCAAAACACTGAGAACCTAATAACCAAAACTGAGCGCTAAAACACTATACTAAAACACTGAGAACCTAATACCAAAACACTGAGAACACTAATACCAAAACACTGAGAACACTATACCAAAACACTGAGTGCTAAGAACACTAATATCAAAACTGAGAACACTAATACCAAAACACTGAGAACACTAATACCAAAACACTGAAACACTAATACCAAACACTGAGGACCTAATACCAAACACTAGAACACTAATACCAAACACTGAGAACACTAATACCAAACACTGAGCGCTAAGAAACACTAATACCAAACACTGAGAACACTAATACCAAACACTGAGAGATAAGAACACTAATACCAAAACACTGAGAACACTACTACCCAAAACCGCTGAGAGATAAGAACACTAATACCAAAACAAACTGGAGCCTAATAACAACTAATACCAAAACCACTTGAGAACACTGAATACCAAAACACTGAGAACAATAATACCAAACACGTGAGAGACAAGAAAACTAATACCAAAACATCTGAGAAACACTAATACCAAAACACTGAGCGCTACGAACACTAATACCAAAAACACTGAGAACACTAATACCAAAACACTGAGAACCACTAATACCCAAAAACACTGGAGAACACTAATACCAAAACCACTGAGAACACTAATACCAAAACACTGAGAACACTAATACCAAACCACTGAGAACACTAATACCAAAAACACTGAGGCTAAGAACACTAATACCAAAAACCCTGAGAACACTAATACCAAAACACTGCGAACACTAATAAACCAAAAACACTGAGAACCTAGCTAACTACCTAAATACAACCTGAGAAACACTAATACCAAAACAACTGAGACACTAATACCAAACACTGAGAAACACTAATACCAAAACACTGAGAACACTTAATACCAAAACACTGAGAACACTAATACCAAAACACTGAGAACACTAATACCAAAACACTGAGAACACTAATACCAAAACACTGAGAAACACTAATACCAAAACACTGAGAACACTAATACCAAAACACTGAGAACACTAATACCAAAACACTGAGAACACTAATACCAAAACACTGAGAACACTAATAGCAAACACTGAGAACACTAATACCAAAACACTGAGAACACTAATACCAAAACACTGAGAACACTAATACCAAAACACTGAGAACACTAATAGCGAAACACTGAGAACACTAATACCAAAACACTAAGAACAGTAATACCAAAACACTGAGAACACTAATACCAAAACACTGAGAACACTAATACCAAAACACTGAGAACACTAATACCAAAACACTGAGAACACTAATAGCGAAACACTGAGAACCACTAATACCAAAACACTGAGAACACTAATACCAAAACACTGAGAACACTAATACCAAAACACTGAGAACACTAATACCAAAACACTGAGCGCTAAGAACACTAATACCAAAACACTGAGAACACTAATACCAAAACACTGAGAACACTAATACCAAAACGCTGAGAACACTAATACCAAAACACTGAGAACACTAATACCAAAACACTGAGCGCTAAGAACACTAATACCAAAACACTGAGAACACTAATCGCGAAACACTGAGAACACTAATACCAAAACACTGAGAACACTAATAGCGAAACACTGAGAACACTAATAGCGAAACACTGAGAACACTGAGGGCGGCAGGTAGCTTAGTGGGTAAGAGCGTTGTGCCAGTAACCGAAAGGTCGCTGGTTCTAATCCCCGAGCCGACTAGGTGAAAAATCTGTCGATGTGCCCTTGAGCAAGGCACTTAACCCTAATTGCTCATGTAAATCGCTCTGGATAAGAGCGTCTGATAAATGACAACAAAAAAATAAAAAATAATAAAAATAAAATAAAATAAGAACACTAATACAAAAACACTGTTCAAACAGATATTCTTCTCATGAATGCATCATCAGCCTGTCGTCTATCTTTTCAATAAATCATTGTGCAAACTTCCTTGCTTATGACTGCTGCTAGCAGCGAAAACAAGCAACAGTTTGTCGTGTCGCCGATAAGCAGCTTATTAGGTTTTTATAAATGTATTTTTGTGAGGGCTGACAAGGCCATCTCCATGGGATACATTTCTTTAGAATAGTCAGAGAGTGGATTCTACTTGTCTCCGGGTGTGGACAATGAGAGTCTCGCTGCAACCAAGAGCACTCACAGAAAGTGAACGTGAACCGAATCAATATGTTGGCTGTGTCCCAAATGGCACCCTATTCCCTATGGGCCCTGGTCAAAAGTAGGGTACTAAGTAGGGAATAGGGTGTAATTTGGTCAAAAGTAGGGTACTAAGTAGGGAATAGGGTGTAATTTGGGACGCATATGTTGTGTTCAGGAGCGGTGGGCAGGAGCAGTGAGGAAGGTGAAGGGACAGCTCTCCATTGATGCACAATTCTCGGTTAGCCACAGCTTGATACTATTTACAGGTCTGACTGCACTGCTACATAAAGTGCATTCGGAAAGAATTTAGACCCCTTGGCATTTTCCACATTTTGTTACGTTACAGCCTTATTCTAAAATGTATTAAATACATTTTTTTCTTCATCAATCTACACACAATACCCCATAATGACAAAGCGAAAACAGGTTTTCTATGAATGTTTGCACATTTATAAAAATATATATAAGTATTCAGACCCTTTGATATGAGACTCGAAATTGAGCTTAGGTGAATCCTGTTTCCATTGATCATCCTTGAGATGTTTCTACAACTTGATTGGAGTCCAGCTGTGGTAAATTCAATTGATTGGACATGATTTGGAAAGGCACACACCTGTCTATATAAGGTCCCAAAGTTGACAGTGCATGCCAGAAAGAGGTCGAAAGAATTGTCCGTAGAGCTCTGAGACAGGATTGTGTCGAGGCAAAGATCTGGGGAAGGGGTACCAAAAAATGTCTGCAGCATTGAAGATCCCCATGAACACAGTGGCCTCCTTCATTCTTAAATGGAAGAAGTTTGGAACCTAGAGCTGGCCTTCGGGTAAGAAGGGCCTTGATCAGGGAGGTGACCAAGAACCCGATGGTGACTTTGACAGAGCTCCAGAGTTCCTCTGTGGAGATGGGAGTTCCTTCCAGAAGGACAACCATATCTGCAGCACTCCACCAATCAGGCCTTTATGGTAGAGTGTTCAGACGGAAGCCACTCCTCAGTAAAAGGCACATGACAGCCTGCTTGGAGTTTGCCAAAAGGCACCTAAAAAAGATTCTCTGGTCTGATGAAACCAAGATTGAACTTGTTGGCCTGAATGCCAAGCATCACGTCTGGAGGAACCCTGGCACCATCCCTATGGTGAAGCATGGTGAAGCATGGTGAAGCATGGTGGTGGCAGCATCATGCTGTGGGGATGTTTTTCAGTGGCAGGGACTGGGAGACTAGTCAGGATCGAGGGAAAGATGAAAGGAGCAAAGTACAGCGAGATCCTTGATGAAAACCTGCTCCAGAGCACTCAGGACCTCAGACTGGGGCGAAGGTTTACCTTCCAACAGGACAATGACCCTAAGCACACAGCCAAGACAACGTAGGAATGGCTTCCGGACAAGTCTCTGAATGTCCTTGAGTCACCCAGTCAGAGCCCGGACTTGAACCCGATCGAACATCTCTGGAGAGACCTGAAATAGCTGTGCAGTGACGCTCCCCATCCAACCTGACAGAGCTTGAGAGGATCTGCAGAAGAATGGGAGAAACTCTCCAAATAAAGGTGTGCCAAGCTTGTACCGTCATACCCAAGAAGACTCGAGGCTGTAATCGCTGCCAAAGGTGCTTCAACAAAGTACTGAGTAAAGGGTCTGAATACTTATGTAAATGTAATCTCTCCGTTTTTTTATTTGCAAAAAAAATCAAAAAAGCAGTTTTTGCTTTGTCATTATGGGGTATTGTGTGTTGATTGATGAGGGGAAAAAAGGGGTCTGAATACTTTCCGAATGCACTGTAACCAAAAGCAGTGAATTACACACATTACAGTAGAGTGTACGAACGTCTGTTTGTCCTTGGAGGTAAGACATTGGACATGTATGGAGACAATAGAGGAGAGGAGAATTAGAAATGGATCAGTATTTGTAGATTTTTCTCTGTCCCAATATCAACACTAGCAGACCACTTAGTATGAAGCGATCTAGTGGACGTGTATACTAAGTGCAATTGCAAGTACGGAAACTGGAACGGCCGACAACGTCTGTCGTACATACCTGTGACTAAGAACCTGCAGGCGCCCGCCCCGGCCTCGTTGGTCACTTCACAGGTGTACTCCCCGTAGCCCTCCCTGTTGAGGGCTCTGACGTGGTAGTCCGTCTCGTCGCTCTGGTCCAACTGGCCCACGGTCAGCAGCCGGGTGCCCAGCTTCCACTCGTATTTCAGCACCTTGGACGGGTGGGCCCGCAGCATGCGGCAGTTGAGGGTGAAGGCACGACCCAAACCCTGGCGGATCTCTGTGAACAGCGGCTCCACCGCCGGCGGATCTATGGAGAGGAAGACAGAAGGCCAGTCAGGCAGGCAGGGAGGCAAAGGCTGAATCCCAAATCAATCGCTAGCCCCTAGCCCATATCAGTCAGGCACAGAGCAGCAGTGAACTTGTCCTAGAATAACCCCTAGCCCCTATGGATATCTGAGAAGGTTTTGGTAGGTGCAAGCAATATGGTAATTGCTTCCCCATATTGTTTACACCTATCAACTCCTCTGAGATCTACAGGCGTGCCTAGGGAGTCCGGGGGTATAGGGGGGCTAGCAGGCTATTTGGAGTTCAGCAAAACTCTCCTCCCATACAAGCAACATCTGAGCCTGGCTCCGTATGTCAACCCAAACATAATCCATTCATTTGCATCCAGAAGTTCTCCACTCACAGGACTTTAAAAGTTCCCTTATTCGCTATCCAGCCTTTAGATTATCTACCGCAGTAATTACCCCTAATGCACCAGTAATGAGATGCCACTAGACGTGGCTTTATCAATTATCCGCTACGACTTCAGTGGAAAGTGATCTAAACACAGCGCTAAAACGTTCCTGTCGCTCTTTGGTGCACACCTGGCAAACTCAGTTACGCCGCGGGAGTCGGACTACAGCATGTGGGCAAAACAGGCTTCAGGCTAACATGAGAACTCAGAAGTCACACGTCTAGGATACTAGAGCTTCTAGTCTGCAGCTTAACAACCATTGACTGACTGGCTTTGCACAAAAGCACTTGGAATTGTTGTTGTATTGTTGTTGTATGCAAGGCTTTTTAGTAGGAGATATTTTGAGGGCCTCTGAGATACCTTTCCTGTTTCATGTCTAATTTTGAGAACTCTCAGAGGAACTGTCCTCTATTAACTCGACTGAGCTTGCTGCTTGAATACACAGAATGTCTGGGTGAATCCGTAGGGACCGTCTTCTGCTCTGAGAAAAACGAGCATGATTCACAGAATTTCTGAGTAGCACCATACGAGATAATACTTCAGAAACACTTAAAGGAAAATGTCTCCAGAATTGCAAATATACTTCATCTTATGGATACCTAGAATGTAGTCTGTAGAGCCCGAAGGTCAGTGACCCAAGAGGTTGGTTTACAGCTTAGCAACAGCATAGTAGATTGCAAAACTGTGGAAGTGGTAGGAACCCTGTTAGCATGCTACAGCCCAGCTAGCTAGCACCTAACCACCACTTTCTGCAACGAGGCTGGAGGCAAGCCCCACTTAAGCAACCGTCTGCAAGCTAATATTACTACACCCAAATGAACTAACTTCAAACGTTCTAGTCACATACAATACACTTGGAATTTTGGAGCAGCAATCCCTTTTGATTGTAAAGTAGTGAAATACTCTCCTCTGACAAGCCCTTTTTTGGTACTAAATAGAACTATTTTGGTTCCAGGTAGAACCCCTTTGGGTTCCATGTAGAAACCTTTCCACAGAGGGTTCTACCTGGAACCAAAAAGGATTATCCTATGTGGACAGCCGAAGAACCCTTTTGAAACCCTTTTGTGTAACAGTGTATTCATTACTGACGTAAGGTTCGTACCTGTTATTATTTACTGCAGGGATTGAAACATGCGAAGTAGAACAAAAAGGCCTAAACAAAAGTTAAGGAAAAAGATAACCTTAAAGGTACAATCTGTAATTTCAACAGCCTGATCCTGACACTGTTTGGTAAGCTGAGGGACGGGGCTGAGCTATGGATAGGACTGTGGGCCATAGGACAGATTTCAATGCTGAACAGTGGGCCATAGGACAGATGTAGGATGCTGAACAGTGGGACATAGGACATATGTAGGATGCTGAACAGTGGGCCATGGGACAGATGTAGGATGCTGAACAGTGGGCCATAGGACAGTTGTAGATTGCTAAACAGTGGGACATAGGACAGCTGTAGGATGCTGAACAGTGGGACATAGGACAGATGTAGGATGCTGAACAGTGGGCCATAGGACAGATATAGGATGCTGAACAGTGGGCCATGGGACAGATGTAGGATGCTGAACAGTGGGCCATGGGACAGACATAGGATGCTGAACAGTGGGACATGGAACAGACGTAGAATGCTGAACAGTGGGCCATGGGACAGATGTAGGATGCTGAACAGTGGGACATAGGACAGATGTAGAATGCTGAACAGTGGGACATAGGACAGATGTAGAATGCTGAACAGTGGGACATAGGACAGATGTAGGATGCTGAACAGTGGGACATGGGACAGATGTAGGATGATGAACAGTGGGCCATAGGACAGATGTAGGATGCTGAACAGTGGGCCATAGGACAGATGTAGAATACTGAATAGTGGGACATGGGACAGATGTAGGATGATGAACAGTGGGACATAGGACAGATGTAGGATGCTGAACAGTGGGACATGGGACAGTTGTAGGATGCTGAACAGTGGGCCATAGGACAGATGTAGGATGCTGAATAGTGGGCCATGGGACAGATGTAGGATGCTGAACAGTGGGCCATAGGACAGATGTAGGATGCTGAATAGTGGGACATGGGACAGATGTTGGATGCTGAACAGTGGGCCATAGGACAGATGTAGGATGCTGAATAGTGGGACATGGGACAGATGTAGGATGATGAACAGTGGGACATAGGACAGATGTAGGATGCTGAACAGTGGGACATGGGACAGTTGTAGATTGCTAAACAGTGGGACATAGGACAGCTGTAGGATGCTGAACAGTGGGCCATGGGACAGTTGTAGATTGCTAAACAGTGGGACATAGGACAGCTGTAGGATGCTGAACAGTGGGACATAGGACAGATGTAGGATGCTGAACAGTGGGCCATAGGACAGATATAGGATGCTGAACAGTGGGCCATGGGACAGATGTAGGATGCTGAACAGTGGGCCATGGGACAGACGTAGGATGCTGAACAGTGGGACATGGAACAGACGTAGAATGCTGAACAGTGGGCCATGGGACAGATGTAGGATGCTGAACAGTGGGACATAGGACATATGTAGAATGCTGAACAGTGGGACATAGGACAGATGTAGGATGCTGAACAGTGGGCCATCTACAAGATGTAGGATGCTGAACAGTGGGCCATAGGACAGATGTAGGATGCTGAATAGTGGGACATGGGACAGATGTAGGATGATGAACAGTGGGACATAGGACAGATGTAGGATGCTGAACAGTGGGACATGGGCCAGATGTAGGATGCTGAACAGTGGGCCATGGGACAGATGTAGGATGCTGAACTGTTCAGCATCCTACATCTGTCCCATGGCCCACTGTTCAGCATCCGAAATCTGTCCTATGTCCCACTGTTCAGCATCCTACATCTGTCCTATGTCCCGCTGTCCTATGTCCCACTGTTCAGCATCCGAAATCTGTCCTATGTCCCACTGTTCAGCATCCGAAATCTGTCCTATGTCCCACTGTTCAGCATCCTACATCTGTCCTATGTCCCACTGTTCAGCACCCTACATCTGTCCTATGTCCCACTGTTCAGCATCCGAAATCTGTCCTATGTCCCACTGTTCAGCATACTACATCTGTCCTATGGCCCACTGTTCAGCATTGAAATCTGTCCTATGGCCCACAGTCCTATTCATAGCTCAGCCCCGTCCCTCAGCTTACCAAACAGTGTCAGGATCAGGCTGTTGAAATTACAGATTGTACCTTTACAATAGGACAGATGTAGGATGCTGAACAGTGGGACATGGGACAGATGTAGGATGCTGAACAGTGGGACATAGGACAGATGTAGAATGCTGAACAGTGGGACATGGGACAGATGTAGAATGCTGAACAGTGGGACATAGGACAGATGTAGGATGCTGAACAGTGGGACATAGGACAGTTGTAGGATGCTGAACAGTGGGCCATAGGACAGATGTAGGATGCTGAATAGTGGGCCATGGGACAGATGTTGGATGCTGAACAGTGGGACATGGGACAGATGTAGGATGCTGAACAGTGGGACATAGGACAGATGTAGGATGCTGAACAGTGGGACATGGGACAGATGTAGGATGCTCAACAGTGGGACATAGGACAGATGTAGGATGCTCAACAGTGGGACATAGGACAGATGTAGGCACTATACACAGTGGGACAGTAGGCAGCAGATGCTTTGAATGTGAAAATGTTAATTTATGACTTGTGTACTTTCCAGTTTTCCGTACTGCATGCAATATACTGTGTTGTGTTTGTGTATTTGTATGCTGATGTCACGAAATGAATTTCCATGTAAATGGACAATGAAGTACATTGTATTGTATCGTAAACACTCACAGAAAATGTTCCATTGTTCCACTGAACATTATTATGCGATGTTGTTACCAGGGTCGTTTCATTTTAACTACACATTTACATTTACGTCATTTAGCAGACGCTCTTACACATGCAAGCCTATAAGAGCAAGTTCATGTAAGGTTTTATGCAAGTGCCTAAAATGTTCCTGGGATGTTTCGGCAAGCCACTACAAAACCATTCTGCGAACCCCAAAAAGCACTGTTGACACTATAATTGAACCGTCTTTAACTCTATTTCTATGCAATGGTACTTGTGACTGAGTTTTTCGAAAAAAATATTCATGATGACAATCTCTTTCAATGTGGAAAATGGCAGCAAAGCTGTAGTGTGAATAGCTCCATCCGTGCCACATTTCATGTTTGTCTCTACTGGGGATTTCTCAGTCTACTGGCATTGCATGACTGGTTGATGATAGCACTTTCACAATTTCAGTGTCGTCATTTATTTTTTTTTCTCTCTCTCCAAATGTATTCTCTCTTTTTCATAAATGAATACTGGTGGGGATAAATTAGCGCTTCGCTAATTAGGCTGGGAGCCAGCTTTAATGCCATACTTAACGAACAGGCCAGGATTAAACACACAGAGCCTTGGTCATAGAAGCCTTTAGAGAGGAATAGCCATCCTCCATAGATTACCCTCCAGTTTCCCAGTGCTGATCACAAGGACCACATTTATCACCTCAGAAACCACGTTTCCATCCACAGTTGTTATGCGAGCAAAGTCATACGGTATTAAAAAAAATTAAATAACGACAGCTGTGATGGAAACAGGAAGTTTTGGGTACAATTTTATAAATGCCAACAGATAATTTGTTTGTTCGACATGGTGGGATCGGTTTGTGTCGGTAAAATTAATTATGCAAGAAATGGCAGTGGAAACACCTTTATGCACAAATATTCATACAATAACCATCATATCTAAGTAAACTTGGAGTCACGCGATGATATGGTGTGTGGTCCTCCCACTACAACTCTGGAAAGCATGTAGTTTATTAGGCTACAGATGAACTAACTGATGAACTTCACAGGGTGGTGAAAGTGCACGGTGATGAGCTTGATGCTACTTTCCAATAAATATCGAGGGCCTTATTCTGGTGACATGATGATCGATGCATGACTGCTATTTAACAAATACAAATATTATCGCTCTTATCCATAATAATCTCATCATGTAGACTAGCCTACCCGCACTGTATCGGTTGTTGGCTAGCGTGCATGTGCCAAGACCAGAGTAGGCATATTTGCTATTCAAAGCAACAGTTTTTGTGACAAACCTATCGATAGAGCAGTAGCGGTGCGTGGGTAAAATTCTGAGGAAGCCAGAAAAAAATAAGCCATATTACAACCTATGTGTTGTGATAATTGCGTTGTTTACTCTATAACCTGTTAGTTCATATGCCTTGACACCGCGATATATAGGCCTAAAGGCCCGAGACAATAAGAAGACACAGTGGCAGAATAAATTCAACCATACCTTTGTTTCATCACAAAACCGGGGAGCAACCTCTGTCCGGTGAAGTCCACAATGCACGTAACAAACAGTTACATGACCAACAGCATGGTCAAGTAAGTTAATGTTTCCGACATTTTTGGACCACTAACCTACGATTGATTTAAAACCACGAAGAGTTACCGCAAATCACAAAGAAAACAGGAGCTGCCTCCACTATTCCAGCACCAGTTCAACATCATCAAATCTCCTATGCTTAGTCTAATACAGTGACAACTAAAAGATACCAAAAGTTATTTAGTCCAATCAATGTAAGCTAAATATGATGTGGCTGTCATGTTGACTCACCCTAGTTGTAGGGAAACGCCAATGCCATCCTCCTCTCTTTAACCTCTACGGGATTGGTGTCCCGTATACGGGACGGTTGAGCTTTATATTGAAATGTAGGAACTGGGTTCTACAGTTTGAACCCATGCTGTCTCTGGCTCCACCCCCACCCCGCCCGGCCATCTAGATGTGTGAAAGTTAGTGTATAAGCTAATGATCCATCATGTATGACATTCCTGGGAGTGTGTAAACTTACATTTTGTATAACCATATAATTTTTGTATGTTCTCTATAGTTATGTACTTGAAAATGTATCAATTGACCAATTCGGCACATTTGGGCAGACTTCATACAAAATAGTCCAGTATTGCAATGCTTCACTGGATCAATCTGAAACTTTGCACACACACTGCTGCCATCTAGTGGCAAAAACTAAATTGCGCCTAAACTGCAATATTATATTGTGGCCTTTCTCTTGCATTTCAAAGATAATGGAACAACAAAAAATAGAAAACAAATTTTATTTTTATTTATTATCTTTTACAAGATCTAATGTGTTATATTCTCCTACATTAATTTCACATTTCCACAAACTTCAAAGTGTTTCCTTTCAAATGGTATCAAGAATATGCATATCCTTGCTTCAGGTCCTGAGCTACAGGCAGTTAGATTTGGGTATGTATTTTAGGCGAAAATGGAAAAAAAAAGGGTTTGATCCTTAAGAGGTTTTAATGTTGACGAAATGGTCTATCACTCTGTCATACAGTACACGCTTTTATGCTTGCTCTCTAGCCTAACTTCCTTTCATGGGCAACGATGAGCCAGCTAGTTAACATTAGCCTTCTACATCTAGCTACATATTTAACTCCCATCCTCTCAGGCCAGGGGCACAACAAAGTATGAATTAATGGTTGGATCAGAATCACCGTTATAATCATTGGCCAGTACGGAGAATTAAGTAAAACCACAAGTCCAAATCCCTATCTCCATCCATGGCTAATTTAGGAAAGGGACAATTTTAGCTCGCTAGCTAGCCACCGGAGGACAACAACACAACGAGATGCAACAATTCAAGTTGTTTCTGTCAATGACGTATGTTCTCAATGCGATTTGATAGGAGTGATGCCAAATCCAAACCGGTTTCCCTTGACTCTTTTCTTTGGTGCGCCAGGACCATTCACAGTTGAGCTCACTCAGTTTAGCTCAACGCTGATTGGCTATTATTTTATATTAAGGTAGGCCAAATGCTCGCTGGCTTAACTTGCATTCAATGCTACGGGCGGCAACAATGTCATCCTCTTTTTGGCCAGACAGCATCAGATAGATGGCCTACACATACAGAGACAGAGGGGGCGCTGTTTCGCTCGCTCGGATGCTTTCTCCGGTGAGATACGTTTAGCCTCTTGCGAATTGAAGGAACATTATGACACACAAAGACGAAAGATACATTATTTTATATGTTTTTTTCTTGGTCAATTTTTTGAGTTGGATGGAAACCTAGCTACAGACTGGGGGCTTGACTAAGATTTATCACCTCATAGTCAGGGGGCTTGACTAGGATTAATTGCCTCATAGTCAGGGGGCTTGACTAGGATTCATCCCCTCATAGTCAGGGGGCTTGACTAGGATTCATCGCCTCATAGTCAGGGGGCTTGACTATGATTTATCACCGCATAGTCAGGGGACTTGACTAGGATTCATCGCCTCATAGTCAGGGGGCTTGACTAGGATTCATCGCCTCATAGTCAGGGGGCTTGACTAGGATTTATCACCTCATAGTCAGGGGGCTTGACTATGATTTATCACCGCATAGTCAGGGGACTTGACTAGGATTTATCACCTCATAGTCTGGGGGCTTAACTAGGATTTATCACCTCATAGACAGGTGGCTTGACTAGAAATTATCACCTCATAGTAAAGGGTCTTGACTAGGATGTTCCACCTCATAGTCAGGGGGCTTGACTAGGAATTTGTCATTAATCTTATAGATATCATTATTTACATTTGATATAATGCTTTCTCTCCACTTCTTCTTGCCTCCCAACTGGTATTTTTAAGAGGCTATGATGTTATGGTAGAGCAGCTTACATCAATATGCTTCAGAGCCCATTTAATATCTTATAACCAGGGGGAATAAATAAATAGCGGGCTATAGATTAAATGCCTAAACTAACAATAATTGGGGCTTTTCAGAGGCAGATGGATCTTCGCTGGTTGAGGGTTTTTCTTTTTGTATGTTTAATGATTTTGCACTTGTGTGAAGGGGAGGGATATGCAGAGGGTCTTGAAATGTCCGAGTACGACTGCAATTATCTCTTTATTATGTTTTAAATAGCAGCATTAATAATCATCAGTGTCATGCATTAATAATCATCAGAATTTCGAGTCACTTCATTCATGAATCTTGGGAAAACTACTGTAGCACTGTGCCTCTACACAGCCTATGCTTTTATTAAGTATAGACCCGTCATTATATAATTCTCACAATATGACTGACAACTTTTATCTTAACATACACTCCAAACCAACTTTTTAACCTACCGATAACGTGATACTGTACCAACGCTGTAGCCCTTTACACTCGTACCTGTATACGGGTTGAAAATGGCAGATTCGGCCACTGATAAATGCCCAAATTGGAACACAGCGGCTGTACAGTAACATGCTGTACATGAGTTCAGAGTTCAGGCTCTGTGCTTCACAGCGCTGCATTGGTTTTGACTAACAACGGTTCTGACCTTGAGCACCTCGCGCTTCAAGAAGTTTCCCCCATCCCTCCCTCTAATTGGGTAACTTTTTGTTTTCTGAGTGAGGCAAATGGTGTAAATTTTGAGGACTCTGTATTTTGAAAGATGAGACATTGAGTATTATAATAAATACCGCTTTGATGTCATACAAGCAAGCCAAATATTTCCATATCATAAAACTAATGTCATATATAGTGTCAACGTTTATGATCACTATGTTTGATGTACAGTTACCAGATAACATGGTGTCATACCCTTGGCTGAACAGAATGAGTTTATGTTTGCCTATCGTAAAGAAAATTTGCCGCGGCACACATACCTGAATGCACTCATGACTCCTTTCTATGCGCACCAGAATTATGACGTGTTTCCCTGAATTGCATTGTGATATCGTATTTTATAATTTAGCTAGTCATGTTGACAATAGAACAGGGTAATGTTTGGATTCAGTCTTGTGTCACGTGATGTGTTGTGTCCTCACCTTTGGTCTAATAATTTTCCCATAATCTCTAAACTGTTCCCTTTCAATTGACCCTTCGCTTAACCCGGCCCCAATGGGATAGCAACTGTCGTTGAGCGACTCCTCGGACAAGCTCACGTTTTAAATCGCATGAAATCCAGTGAGAGCTATGGCAAAAACAGAGCGTTTTCTTTAAAAAATATATATGTTTAAATGGCTAAATAATTTAACAGTGCACCAGGAGTACGTGCTACTGTGATTCAAGAAATGCAGAGTCTGTTGATTACGCATTTTTTGAATCTGAAATTATACTTTTGTTACATTGTTTGCTAGCTCAACTGGTTAGATAGCTCTCAGTCTCATTGACCACCAAACGTTGCTAACACTAGCTAGCTAGCCACTTAATATAACTTGTTTTCTCAAAATGTATGTTAGCCAGCTAACTTAGCAATGTTATGAATACAACTCCCATCTGCTGTCGACATCTGGATACGATTTGAGAGCGCTAGTTAGCTCCAAAAGTGGTTATAGCTTTGACTGCATGCTGACAGTGAATTCAGAGCCATTCAGTAGCTAGCTACACTACAAACATAATTTTACCAGGTTCCCATGAAGCAATTGTAATTACAGTCCACCACAACATACCCAAATATTTCCTGATTAGCAAGGGTTAGTCTGTGTTTAATTTCATTGTGTATTAGGACCACAGTTTGAGATCATTGTGAGGGGATTTCGCCAGAGGTTGAATGAGGAATTGGACATCCCGGGAAAATGTTGTCCGAGGTTGTAACAGAAATGTCTTACAACTGTACAATTGTAAGACATTTCTTTGCAATGACTGGCCTTTGGCTCGGTGGGCTAACACAGTCATTGTGCGCTGGAAACCCGGGTCTGCAAAGCACAATAATCCCAGTGCTAACAGCCTGTTTCTGTCCAGTCTGTGGCACGTCCTTGACTTAAGAACCAGACCAGTGCTCCAGAGCAAATTACGCCATTTCCCTTTCCCTGTTATTGCCACTGCCCGCGAAAACTTAAAGTGGGTGAAAAGGTGACAAGTATGGGCATTGAACTTTCCAGACAGCGGAGTGTCCCCCCCTTTTGGCCAGCTCCCAGTCTGATTAAGTTGAGATCCTCCGACAAAGCCAACCAGGCCCTCTGTGATCCGGCTAGCTCGGGAGCCCACCTGTTGATCCAGCACTTTGTTGAAACACGCCTGGCCAATAAACTCGATTAAACCCTTGCAGTGAAAAAAGACAGACTGGCTGCTGCTGCACCCACACTGTTATGGCGAGACGAGAGTTAACTGGGTTCAACTATATTACCTGAGAGCATTCAATTACCTGGGCGTGGGGCTGTGGTCTCTACATTGGGTGCGGGTCCCCGTTTTTTGTCAGGTACAAATCAGTGAATGATTCCTTATACACCTGGTCTTCGATAGAAACCGACCAATGGTTAACTTTATGGTGGCGTATATGTAGTGTGATGTCATAGAAATCAATCTTGCGGCTATTATCATTAGATACCTTTTCGATGTTTCTGCCCTTTTGGCTTTTTCAAAAGGTTGCCGCCTTTCCGATGTTTCTGGTGAACTAAAGCCTGAAATATTTCAGATGGACATTGTACAGTAGCATTGAACTAAATTGAAGCCTCCAAATCAGAGCTACACAGTATACTATATATCAATAGTTTCACTAAGGTAGGCTTTTAAAGTGAGCTGTAGGTCCTTCAGGGGCTTTCTGAGAAGTTGCAGTGGAGTCAACCGAGGTCTTCTTCCAAGTTTCCAAAGTTAGCCCAGGTCTTTGTCTTATTACGTCTTCAACAACAGCCATCACAATGGCCTCTATGCCGTTCATCGCTAGCTTAAGCATACAAGCAAGTCAAAGCACTTTGCTGAAATACATGAACTAGCTGGTCTCCGGTGGCCCTGACATGTATAACGGAGTGGTAAAAAAGATTACATGGTTACGACAGAGGAAATTATTTTTCAAACACACTTGCACTTACGCTGGGGATAAATACAAGGGGCTGCCTTAACAGATGGCCCCCAGGCCTTAATGGCTTCACTTTGGGTAGAGTGTGACGCGGGCCGGAAGAGAGAGAGATGGAAAGAGATGGGAAAGAGGGAAATATAGAGAGCGCTATTTTCATTACCAATATAACAGAGTAATGCTGATTCCCCCCCACCCCCGCCTGCAAACTCTGCTACCTCTGCTGCAAGAGCCTGCTCAGCTGTCACAGATATAAATCCACATTATCCAGTGGCATACACTGGTGCCCAGACCTACAGCAAGTAATGAGTCCTGTGCTAGGGATTATCTTCCTAGCTACCCTTCTCTCTTCCGTGCCCTAGTTCCCTTCCCTGTAATCCCAATCTCTGCAGGAGGAGGAGGGGGGGTTTGTGAAATGGAGGATGCATGACATGCACATTAGGAGAGATGTTGTACGTATGAGTCATCACTAACAGGCATCTCCGACACACAGGCACGCACACCCGCAGGAAGGCAAACATACACAGGCAGGCAGGCACACGCACACGCGCACGCACGCACGCGCGCGCACACACACACACACACACGCGCGCGCACACCCGCAGGAAGGCAAACATACACAGGCAGGCAGGCACACGCACACACACGCACACACACACACACACACACAGGAAGGCAAACATACACAGGCAGGCAGGCAGGCACATGCACACACACACACACACACACACACACACACACACACACAGCCCAGGAGGCCTCTTCCAGGGAGGAGGGAACAACACACAGCCTAGAGCTGGCTGCTGAAGACGTTAGCCTACAGGACACACTGAAGACGGTACCCAACAGGACACACTGAAGACGTTAGCCTACAGGACACACTGAAGACGTTAGCCTACAGGACACACTGAAGACGTTACCCAACAGGACACACTGAAGACGTTACCCTACAGGACACACTGAAGACGGTACCCAACAGGACACACTGAAGAAGTTACCCTACAGGACACACTGAAGACGTTAGCCTACAGGACACACTGAAGACGTTACCCAACAGGACACACTGAAGACGTTACCCTACAGGACACACTGAAGACGTTAGCCTACAGGACACACTGAAGACGGTACCCAACAGGACACACTGAAGACGGTACCCAACAGGACACACTGAAGAAGTTACCCTACAGGACACACTGAAGACGTTAGCCTACAGGACACACTGAAGACGTTACCCAACAGGACACACTGAAGAAGTTACCCTACAGGACACACTGAAGACGGTACCCAACAGGACACACTGAAGAAGTTACCCTACAGGACACACTGAAGACGTTAGCCTACAGGACACACTGAAGACGTTACCCAACAGGACACACTGAAGACATTACCCTACAGGACACACTGAAGACGGTACCCTACAGGACACACTGAAGACGGTACCCAACAGGACACACTGAAGACGTTACCCAACAGGACACACTGAAGACGTTACCCTACAGGACACACTGAAGACGGTACCCAACAGGACACTCTGAAGACGGTACCCAACAGGACACACTGAAGAAGTTACCCTACAGGACACACTGAAGACGTTACCCTACAGGACACACTGAAGACGTTACCCTACAGGACACACTGAAGACGTTAGCCTACAGGACACACTGAAGACGTTAGCCTACAGGACACACTGAAGACGTTACCCTACAGGACACACTGAAGACGTTAGCCAACAGGACACACTGAAGACGGTACCCAACAGGACACACTGAAGACGTTACCCTACAGGACACACTGAAGACGTTACCCTACAGGACACACTGAAGACGGTACCCAACAGGACACACTGAAGGCGTTACCCTACAGGACACACTGAAGACGTTAGCCAACAGGACACACTGAAGACGTTAGCCTACAGGACACACTGAAGACGTTAGCCAACAGGACACACTGAAGACGTTAGCCTACAGGACACACTGAAGACGGTACCCAACAGGACACACTGAAGACGTTAGCCTACAGGACACACTGAAGACGGTACCCAACAGGACACACTGAAGACGTTAGCCTACAGGACACACTGAAGACGGTACCCAACAGGACACACTGAAGACGTTAGCCTACAGGACACACTGAAGACGTTAGCCTACAGGACACACTGAAGAGAAGAGCTATATGAGGTAGTATACTGGCGTCAGACTGACCGACCGACAGACTGAACGTGACAGAAATGATGTGATCGTTGCCTCCAGACCAGAGGCCAAGGGGGACACAAACAGTTGGTTTATAGATATCTGTCAAGCACAGTATATATCACACATTACATTTTAAAATGGAATACTTCTTAACTTCAGATAAATGTAATTGGTGCTCTGCACAGCTGCACAGGTATGAAATAATTAATTTAATAATAGTAATTAATTTAATAATTGAGACTTTTTTTTGCCGCTAAGTAATGAAATGATCGGCTGTGGATTTTGGCACTCATTTTCAAACGTCCCAGTTATGATGACATGTTCTCTGAGAGTTTATATTTTCTGAGTGCCGGGACTCATTTGAACACATCATTGATAGTATTAAACATGAAAAAGCAACAAACCCAGATTGGTAAACTATGAATGAGTTCCAAATGGCACCCTATTCCCCTATATAGTTCACTACTTTAGACCAGAGCCCTATGACACCCTATTCCCCTATATAGTTCACTACTTTAGACCAGAGCCCTATGACACCCTATTCCCCTATATAGTTCACTACTTTAGACCAGAGCCCTATGACACCCTATTCCCCTATATAGTTCACTACTTTAGACCAGAGCCCTATGACACCCTATTCCCCTATATAGTTCACTACTTTTGACCAGAGCCCTGGTGCCATTTGGAACGCGCACCGAATCAACATGGCATCAGCACATTTAGCTTACTGTACATGAATATGTTAAACATGCACTGTAGAGAACTCTTTTAATAATGGGCAAAACAGATTAAAAATACTACATCGTTTTGATAAAGAATAGTCATTTTTCACATAGGACTGCCAGTCACTACAAAGCCCCTCCTCAATACTTGAATATGAATGTCCTCATTTATCACGTCCATGACATGGGAAGAACAGGATGCACTCTGCCAAGGTTAATGTGTTTCAAAGAGGTTTATTTAGAGAGCAGAAATAGGTTTAATTAGAGGGCATAAAGAGGTTTTATTAGAGCAGAAAGAGGTTTTATTAGAGCAGAAATAGGTTTTATTAGAGAGCAGAAATAGGTTTAATTAGAGGGCATAAAGAGGTTTTATTAGAGCAGAAAGAGGTTTTATTAGAGCAGAAATAGGTTTTATTAGAGCAGAAAGAGGTTTAATTAGAGCAGAAATAGGTTTTATTAGAGCAGAAAGAGGTTTTATTAGAGCAGAAATAGGTTTTATTAGAGCAGAAATAGGTTTTATTAGAGCAGAAATAGGTTTTATTAGAGCAGAAATATGTTTTATTAGAGAGCAGAAAGAGGTTTTAAGAGCAGAAATGGGTTTTTCAGAGCAGAAATAGGTTTTATTAGAGCAGAAAATTGGTTTTATTAGAGAGCAGAAAGAGGTTTTATTAGAGCAGAAATATGTTTTATTAGAGAGCAGAAAGAGGTTTTAAGAGCAGAAATGGGTTTTATTAGAGCAGAAATAGGTTTTATTAGAGCAGAAATAGGTTTTATTAGAGAGCAGAAAGAGGTTTAATTAGAGCAGAAATAGGTTTTATTAGAGCAGAAATAGGTTTTATTAGAGCAGAAATATGTTTTATTAGAGAGCAGAAAGAGGTTTTAAGAGCAGAAATGGGTTTTTCAGAGCAGAAATAGGTTTTATTAGAGCAGAAAATTGGTTTTATTAGCACAGAAATAGGTTTTTATTAGAGAGCAGAAATAGGTTTTATTAGAGCAGAAATAGGTTTTTATTAGAGAGCAGAAAGAGGTTTTATAAGAGCAGAAATAGGCCTACAAATACAAGTAAATGTTAGTGGTTGCTGTAGAACATTGGACATCCTCGTGTTGTACACACAAACCTACAGAATGTACAGACCCCACGGCTAGCAGGCCAACTTCTGTGGAACATCACATTCAATGGCGTGCTGTATTCATAGTGAATTAACCTTAGCCCCCGTGCTCAAGGACATGGCTGCATGGGAGTTACATAATGAGTGGAGAGCTGTTAAACTGGCTAGCAACAACAAACATCTGAGTCACTCACACACACATCCACTCACACACACACACACACTCATATACACACACTCACACACACAGAGCAGTAGGAGCAGCTGTAATGACGTTCACAGTCACCCTCGAGTGTGAAACTCCAACTATGAGTGGCGCCATTGTGGATCTGGTAGACTAGAGTATCGCCCATAGAGATGTAAGTGCATATATACTGTAAGTGTTACATTCAATTCAGTCGTATTGTGGTTCAGGTAGAGGGGGTATTGTCTGTGTCGTGATTTACAGAACAAACATATTGAATAACACTAAATGACCTGTATAGAGACACATTAGGTCACACCTGATACCACTGTGCTCTTGTCACTGTGTAATTATTCCTGTGCAGTTTAGTATTGTAATTACTCATGGTTACACTGTACCTAGGGTATAGCTGAGTATACACTACACCAGGGTTCTTCAATTCCGGTCCTGGAGGGCCGAAACACTTCTGTTTTTCATTTCTACCTGGTAGTTAATTGCACTCACCTGGTGTCCCAGGTCTGAATTAGCCCCTGATTAGAAGGAGAGGATGAAAAACAGAGGTGTTTCGGCCCTCCAGGACCGGAATTGAAGAACCCTGCACTACACGGCTTCTAAAATCTGAAGAACTTGGGCGTGCTCACATTTCCCGATTTCCTTGTCCCAAATCTTTCATTCGGTCCCCATCCTCAACCCTAGGACGTGGGTGCTGACGTTACACGACGATTTCCTGGTTGATCCTGCGTTTCCCGCTCGTCATAGGAAAAATAATAGACGACACGTAAAGAGCGAGCTGGTTTACTAGAGCGACTCCTCATGTGGCGAAACATTACAAATGATGAATATGAAATGGTTGGGGACGTGGGCAATATGGACTTTCTATTCTATGTTAATACATTGCTTTAGGGCAGAGGCTAGTTCATTCCATCTTTTTGGTTCCTGTCGTTGTAGGACGCACAGGTAATATTGAAAAGGCAGCGGTGTTCTCTCCACAGATCTGTCTTCCATCACCTCGGTCCACACGGTGCGTGTTGATGCCTTCCCTCTTCGCCATCATTGTTTGTTCTCACATGCTGAGTGCTCATTGGCTATTGTCAGTAGTCCTTGCCAAATCATGTCGTAGCACTGCTCATACTACAAGACGCACGACCAAAGCGGCGTCTGCATCCCGATGCTGGAGATGTGTCCTAAATAGCACTCTATTTCCTATATAGTACACTACTTTTGACCGGGCCCCATAGTCCTGATTGTACCTGGCTAGGTCCTACTATAGGCCCAGTCCTCCTGTAGTTCTGATTGTACCTGGCTAGGTCCTACTATAGGCCCAGTCCTCCTGTAGTTCTGATTGTACCTGGCTAGGTCCTACTATAGGCCCAGTCCTCCTGTAGTTCTGATTGTACCTGGCTAGGTCCTACTATAGGCCCAGTCCTCCTGTAGTCCTGATTGTACCTGGCTAGGTCCTACTATAGGCCCAGTCCTCCTGTAGTTCTGATTGTACCTGGCTAGGTCCTACTATAGGCCCAGTCCTCCTGTAGTTCTGATTGTACCTGGCTATCTAGAAGCTAAAAGGGATATTTGGCTGTCCCCATAGGAGAACCCTTTGAATAACTATTTTTGGTTCCAGGAGCCCAAAAGGGTTCTGCCTGGAACCAAAAATGGTTATCCTATGGGGACAGCCGAAGAACCATTTTGGAACCCTTTTTTCTAAGAGTGTAGGTCCTACCATAGGCCCAGCTCTCTGGTCGGTCAGTATGACACTCTGGGCCCAGTCCTCCTTCCTCCTCCTCCACCCTTTCCCCTAGCCTTCTTCTTGTCTGTTTCTGTGTTTCTCCACACTCCACAAACGGTCCTGCTGGGGCCACACTAAGGACAATTCTGAAGCCAGGTTGCCTCAGGGACAATTCTGAAGCCTGGTTGCCTCGGGGACAATTCTGAGGCCTGGTTGCCCCGGGGACAATTCTGAGGCCAGGTTGCCTCGGGGACAATTCTGAGGCCATGTTGCCTCGGGGACAGTTCTGAGGCCAGTTTGCCTCGGGGACTCTCTGAAGCCAGGTTGCCTCGGGGACTCTCTGAGGCCAGGCTGAGGCCACACACACACACACACACGCATAAATGCACACACACAACACTCACATACACGTATGCACACACAGTTCCTTAATATGGCTCATCATCCCTCAGCCATGTTCCTAGTTACTTTATGTGATGTTACATCACGTAAAGTAACATCACGTAAAGTAACATCACTTTACGTTACTTTACTTTGTGGCAGTGGTTATCAAACGCTGATACAGCAGAGCTAGGTTTGATTTCAACCCAACACTTTCCCCTAGCCTACTTCTCCCGGTCCATGTACAGCATACAGTGGGGAGAACAAGTATTTGATACACTGCCGATTTTGCAGGTTTTCCTACTTACAAAGCATGTAGAGGTCTGTCATTTTTATCATAGGTACACTTCAACTGTGAAAATCCAGAAAATCACATTGTATGATTTTTAAGTAATTAATTTGCATTTTATTGCATGACATAAGTATTTGATACATCAGAAAAGCAGAACTTAGTATTTGGTACAGAAACCTTTGTTTGCAATTGACCAGGTTTGCACACACTGCAGCAGGGATATTGGCCCACTCCTCCATACAGACCTTCTCCAGATCCTTCAGGTTTCGGGGCTGTCGCTGGGCAATACTGACTTTCAGCCCCCTCCAAAGATTTTCTATTGGGTTCAGGTCTGGACACTGGCTAGGCCACTCCAGGACCTTGAGATGCTTCTTACGGAGCCACTCCTTAGTTGCCCTGGCTGTGTGTTTCGGGTCGTTGTCATGCTGGAAGACCCAGCCACGACCCATCTTCAATGCTCTTACTGAGGGAAGGAGGTTGTTGGCCAAGATCTCGCGATACATGGCCCCATCCATCCTCCCCTCAATACGGTGCAGTCGTCCTGTCCCCTTTGCAGAAAAGCATCCCCAAAAATGATGTTTCCACCTCCATGCTTCACGGTTGGGATGGTGTTCTTGGGGTTGTACTCATCCTTCTTCTTCCTCCAAACACGGCGAGTGGAGTTTAGACCAAAAAGCTCTATTTTTGTCTCATCAGACCACATTACCTTCTCCCATTCCTCCTCTGGATCATCCAGATGGTCATTGGCAAACTTCAGACGGGCCTGGACATGCGCTGGCTTGAGCAGGGGGACCTTGCGTGCGCTGCAGGATTTTCATCCATGACGGCGTAGTGTGTTACTAATGGTTTTCTTTGAGACTGTGGTCCCAGCTCTCTTCAGGTCATTGACCAGGTCCTGCCGTGTAGTTCTGGGCTGATCCCTCACCTTCCTCATGATCATTGATGCCCCACGAGGTGAGATCTTGCATGGTGCCCCAGACCGAGGGTGATTGACCGTCATCTTGAACTTCTTCCATTTTCTAATAATTGCGCCAACAGTTGTTGCCTTCTCACCAAGCTGCTTGCCTATTGTCCTGTAGCCCATCCCAGCCTTGTGCAGGTCTACAATTCTATCCCTGATGTCCTTACACAGCTCTCTGGTCTTGGCCATTGTGGAGAGGTTGGAGTCTGTTTAATTGAGTGTGTGGACAGGTGTCTTTTATACAGGTAACGAGTTCAAACAGGTGCAGTTAATACAGGTAATGAGTGGAGAACAGGAGGGCTTCTTAAAGAAAAACTAACGGGTCTGTGAGAGCCGGAATTCTTACTGGTTGGTAGGTGATCAAATACTTATGTCATGCAATAAAATTGAAATTAATTACTTAAAAATCATACAATGTGATGTTCTGCATTTTTGTTTTAGATTCCGTCTCTCACAGTTGAAGTGTACCTATGATAAAAATTACAGACCTCTACATGCTTTGTAAGTAGGAAAACCTGCAAAATCGGCAGTGTATCAAATACTTGTTCTCCCCACTGTATGTGTCTGTGGTGATGGGTGGGATATAAGGTCATAGATCACAAATTTTTCACAGGCCTGTTAAAGAAGCAGTAATCCGAGCGACAACCAACTCTGCATTTCAATAAGACAGCCCAAGGTATCTTCCCTCCTCTCCAATATTAAGATGAACACAAACACTATTAATTAGATGGATGTTTCTCATAGTCTGTGTCCCTAATTGCACCATATTCCCTATATAGTGCACTACTTTCGACCATAGTAGTGCACTATATAAGGAAAAGGGTGCCATTTGAAGGCTCTATGGCCTCCTCTAACAGTGTCTTCCATCATCATGTCACCAGCTAATTTCCTCAGGTTGCATGTACAGTGGGGTCCATCATTATTGACACCCTTGATAAAGATCAGCAAAAAATGACTGTATAAAATCAATAGAAATACCTAACTATACTGTATGCTCAAATTTCTTAGAAAATTATATATAGAGAATCTTTCCAGATCCTTGATATCCATCGGCTACGCTTATGGACTGCCCTCTTCAATTCAAACCACAGATTTTTAATGGGGTTCAAGTCTGGAGATTGAGTTGGCATTTGCAAAATGTTGATTTTGTGGTCAATGGATTTTGCTTAGTGCTTGGGGTGATTGTCTTGCTGGAAGATCCACTTGCCGGCCAAGTTTCAGCCTCCTGGCTGAGGCAACCAAGTTTTTGGCTAAAATGTCCTGGTAGGGGAGAGTGGGGTAAGTTGAGCCGTTTTTTACATTCAGCATCACTCCGTCAATAGTATTCTATCTAACAAAGATATCTACATATATTTCAGGATGTTGTGTATCCCTGGGAAAAATCGGAATTAATGTAAACATAACAGTTTTGAAAACAGCTTGTCCAAAAAAAGTGGTCTCTTGGGACAAATTACCCCGGGTATTTCTTTTGTGGAAAAACGGAAGCATATGCAGAAAATAACCTCATACGTACTGTAGAATATGGTGGTGCATCTTTGAAGTTATGGGGCTATTTTACTTCCACTGGTCCTGTGGCCAACGGCATCATGGACTTTACCAAGTAGCAGGATATTTGGCCACAAGTGGATCTTCCAGCAAGACGATAACAGCAAGCACACATTCAAATCCACAAAGAAAGGGTTAATTGACCACAAAATCAACGTTTTGCAATGGCCATCTCAGTCTCCGGACTTGAACCCCATTGAAAACCTGTGGTTTGAATTGAAGAGGGCTGTCCATAAGCGCAGACGAAGGCTATCAAGGATCTGGAAAGATTCTGTAATGGTATAAGATCAATCAATCAATCAATTTTATTTTATATAGCCCTTCGTACATCAGCTAATATCTCGAAGTGCTGTACAGAAACCCAGCCTAAAACCCCAAACAGCTAGTAATAAGATGCCTCCCAATGTGTTCTCCAATTTGATAAAACATTTTAGAAAAAGGCTCAGGGTCGTTATCCTCAAGGGTAGGGTGGTGGAGTACTGAAAACAGGGGTGCCAATTATTTTGACCGCTATCTTTAAAGAAAGTATTTGTTAAACAAAATCTATTTCTCTGAGCAATTGTATCAGTATAAAATAATATACGTAAAAACAAATGTTGCATACAATATACCTCAGTATTTCTATTCGTTTTATACAGTCTTTGTTGCTCATCTTTATCAAGGGTGCCAATTATTATGGACCCCACTGTATGTTCAACAAGGTCAATAAACGTTATGGATTATGCGATTACAAAAAGCGCCTCTCGTTTCTCTAAAGTGTAGGCCGCTAACGGTCATTAACACTGACACGCAACCCTTTTCCATAACGTTTTTTTAGTGACTGAGTTAAAGTCGTGTTGAACCGTTTCTTTGAACATGGAACATACAATAGGGAATTGATTACGTTACACCTGGAGAAATGTAATTCAGACTCTTTAATGATTAGCCAAGGCAAGATGTGTTGGATCTTAATATTTTCCTTAATCTACAGCAGCATGTTACTATACAGTATGTTAAGAACATTAAATACCATGGCAACATAAGTGATCCCCACACATCTAACTTAAACCCCTTAAAAACATATGTGCACTCCAGTGTATAGTCGACTCTTGATGAGTGCCGATCGGATTGCAAGTCACAATTCAAATATATCATCTTGAATTTTGCACAGTTTACCCACCTTTCCTGACCCCCTCCTCCTAACAGTGACCTATCCAGGTCACGGCACCAATGTAACCAACCGTAATTATCAGGAGTGGACGGTTGTCCAAAAACACAGTACATCCATCCATTACTCATACTGCATGATGAGCTCCATCTGGCTCACAGAGACCTATCTGGGTCACGGCACCAACGTAACAAACCGTGGTTCAAACCAATTGCATTTATCAGAAGTGTACTGTAAAAAACACTGTACATCCAGAATACTCACACTGCACAGTGAGGTCCACCAGGGCTTCCCGGGGCTTGACGTTGAAGCCGTTGTACTGGCTGGTGGCGCAGCGGTAGGTTCCCGTCATCTCACGGGACACGTTAACGATGCGCAGTGCGCCGTCGTAGCTCTCTGTCTGAAGGCCGCCGTCGGGCATGGGCACCTCCTTGTCGGCCCTCGACCAGAGGATGATAGGCTTGGGCTTCCCCGAGACCAGGCACTGGAGCTCCACCGTGTCACCCTCCTGGACCACCAAGGGGGACTTGCCCCGTGGCACCGTTAACTCCGGAGGGACTGGGAGAGAAGGAGAGAGAAACTTTACGTTACTTTACGTGATGTTCATTTACGTGATGTTCATTTATCTGATGTTACTTTACGTTATGTTATTTTTACTCTACGTAACTTTACTTTGTGGCAGTGGTTATCAAACTCTGATACAGGAGTGCTAGGTATTATTTCAACCCAGCGTTAACACCTGATTAAACTAATCAATGAATCACCTAGACCTTGATTAGTGGAATCTGGTGGGCAAGAACAAAAACCTGCACACCCTGTAGTTATCCAGCCAGGATCAAGGGTTGGTAGAAAGTACGAGTAGGAGCCTTGTGCATTCTGACCATCCACCCCTCAGAACCACCCCCTTGTCCTCCCCCCCCCACCCCAAACAGTGCTATGACTGTGGCATCCTTGTTGAAATGTATTGTCTGCTGCTGCTACACAGAAAGAAAAAAGCTATGAATAGAAAATAGCGACAAATAAGTAGTAGAGTGAGCGAACACGGAACAGAGAGGCGAAGAGACAGGTCTCCTGGGCATTGCCAGGTCATTCATTTGGCGCATTTGGATGGGGTAGCTATCCCCCCCCCCCCTGAGCTTTCAGCTCCGCTCAACCACAGGGGTTCTCTGCCAAAGGCATATACCATCATCCCAACCCGGTCCAATCATTCTGGACGGGCTTTACTTTGCTCTTAGTCCAAATGGATTTTAGTAATGCATGTTGGAGGTTGCTACTCTGCTCCATTGGTTATAATATACTGGAGATGACAATAAAGGCAAACACAGGCCCTAAAAATGTGAATCTGATGAACCACTCAAGACAGATAGATAAGAAGGAAGGAGAGAGAGGGAAGGAGTGGAGGAGAGAGAGAAGGAGAGAGAGTGAGAAGAGGAGGATAGAGAGAAGAGATAGGGAAGAGTTTGGGGAAGGAGATATTGTCTCTCTTCTGTCCTGATCTTCTCCTTCCTCTCGATGCGAGCTGATGATATGATTTGAGCGGAGTCCGTGGGTATCTTTCTTGTTTATTCTCAGTTGTTAGTCTCTCTGAGTGTTTCGCTGCTCTGTTCCTCGTCTCGTCTTGTCCGCTTCTCGGTCCTTGACTCGCAATCTTATAGCCTCGCTGCTCCTGCTATCGGGTCTCGGCTCTTTCCTTCTCGCTTCTATCTCGGCTTGGCCGCGTACAAAACAGTACTACTCACAATGATCCTAATAGCCAGCTCCTTGATGTTTATAAGTTCTCCCTTCCATTTCATTGTCAATTTACCAATCCTCCCTCCCACACGAGGATAATCATGTCAATGGACGCCCATCATCAAACATTTGTGTTCCGCTCCTGCTTTACAAACATATTATCTCAAAAAGAACAGAAAATAACACACCTAAAGATCTTTCGCATCAGTTCGGACGCCAACAAACTAAAGGCAACATACTGAGGGAGGAGCTAATTAGGAGAAAATAACACAGGAGAGCCTCTAGCAGCAGGCTGTAAATAACCATTAGGTTTGGAAGTAGGAACATGTCACAAAACATTAGCCACACATCCACATCAATTAGCGACTGATTTAGGCCTGGTTGAACGGACCGATCCCAATTAATAACAATCTGGCCTGAAAACACTCACATTAGAATCCGGACTTTACTGGAAACTCAATGTGCCATTCTTCCTATAAAGTACACATACTGTACTTTGTAGTGTAGTGCACTTTGTGTATTGACCACTAAGAGGGGTAGGGGAGTCCCATCATCTCATCCTTCATAACCACTGAAAGATATTGAGGACTTTCCATATCCCTGTAACCTATGCCTTCCTGTAATGACTTCCTGTAAATGTAATAACTTCCTGTAGCTACTTTATGCTACTTAGACTTGGTGACAAAGCTTGCCTAGCTCTGTGCAGTAAAACAGGTGTCTTCAGTATCACACAGCTATTAGAACGACTAGAAGGACAACAGTAGAGTAGAGTCCGTTGCTCACCTGTGGTCGAAGAGATATTGACGTCGATGCTGATCTCGGGGATGCCGCCGTTCTTCAGCACTGCCACACAGGTGTACGTGCCGAAGTCAGTGAACTTGAGGTCGATGATGTCCAGGTTGGTGGTGCCTGTCTGGACGTCCGGGTCGGTGTGGGTGATGACCATGCGCTCTGAGCTGCGCAGTCGGACGTCCATTCTTCAGCCAGCTGAACAGGAGCTCCTCTGGCGGCGTGGCCTCCACCTTGGCCAGGAGATTCTTGACCTCACAACGGCCAATCTGGATGTTGTCGTCGTTGTGGACGGGTCGGCGCGTGATCCAATCGCCCCTTCTTTCTCCCTGCAAAGGGAGGGAGGGAGAGAGAGTGAGTAGGGGGAGGGGGAGAAGAGGCCAAAGAGGGCGAGAGAGCAGAGATGGGATAGAAGAGAGAGGAGGAGAGAGAGAGAGCTAGATAGAGAGAGAGAGAGAGAGAGAGAGAGAGAGAGAGAGAGAGAGAGAGAGAGAGAGAGAGAGAGAGAGAGAGAGAGAGAGATCAGTGCTAATGCTAATAATTGGGGCCCAGGGTTTGTTTTATCCCATATAATATAATATAATATATATAATATAATTCACAACAATGACTTACACCCAGTCTTTTTTCTTGGTCACTGAAGGGAGATGGGTCTTTGCCTATAATATAATATAACATACTGTATAATATAACATATAATCAAGGGACCTTACTGTACTGATATAATACAATTATGGCTGCCACCTGGGGGCACAAGAAGTTCCAGTTTCAAATAAAGAGGAATGAATGAATGCTTGCTCATTGCACACCACAGCTAGCTAGCTAGCATAATATTAGTGTCAGAAGTTTGATCCAAAGACAAGTCTCCCTTTAGTGACCAAAAAAACCGATTGGGTGTAAGTTATTGTCTACTATAAATAGGTCCCGGAGTTTTTCCTGCTTAGGTGCAGTGGTGTAAAGTACTTTAGTAAAACTACTTTTTTGGGGGTATCTGTACTTTACTATTGATATTTTTGACAACTTTTACTTCACTACATTTCTAAAGAAAATATTGTACTTCCTACTCCATACATTTCCCCTGACAACCCAAAAGTACTTGTTACATTTTGAATACTTAGCAGAACAGGAAAATTGTGAAATTCACACACTTATCAAGAGAACACATGGTCACCCATACTGCCTATGTTCTGGCAGACTCTAAACAGAAATGCCTCTTTTGTAAATAATGTCTGTGTTGGAGTGTGCCCCGGCTTACATTTTAAGAAAATGGTGCTGTCTGCTTTGTTTAATATAAGGAATTTGAAATGATTTATTACTTTTTATATATTTTAGTATATTTTAGCAATTACCGTATTTTCCGCACTATAAGGCGCACCGGAGTATAAACTGCAGCAACTAAATTGAATGATGCGTACATATATAAGCCGCACTGGACTATAAGCCGCAGGTGTTTTAATGTTTAATTACCATATGTAAGGGTTCGTGCACAGAGGGGATTGTCGGGAAAGAGACAAACTGTCTCGCTCTCGTAATGTCTGTCTGTCTTGCTCTCGTTCTGTCTCTCGTTCTGTCTCTCGTACCACTCTCGGTTCCACTTTTACTTTTGCGCGCTACCTGTCTCACTCTTTTCCAGCCTCCAGCTTTTCCTGCTGGAGCCCGCCGCTTAAAGGTGGGGGACGCGGACCGGTCATAGAGCCCATAGAGTTAAAGTTGGTGGACTGTAACCTGTAAAATCCATAGATTTAGGAGGTCTTCTAGTGGCCGTTAGCTGTAAAAATCCATAGATTAGCCGCACCGTTCTATAAGCCGCAGGGTCGAAAAATTTGGAAAAAAGGCGCGGCTTATAGTCCGAAAATTACAGTAAATTTACTTTTGATACTTAAGTATATTTAAAACCAAATACTTTTAGACTTTTACTCAAGTAGTATTCTACTGGGTGACTTTCACTTTTACTTGAGTCATTTTCTATTAAGGTATCTTTACTTTTACTCAAGTATGACAATTGGGTACTTTTTCCACCACTGGTTAGGTGACACGTTCAAAAAAAAAAACCAGGACAAAGTTTTTATCGACAGCTAATAATAGTAGGAGCAAAAATAAAAGCCAAAGTCCCAGATTCTCTAAGACAGGTTACATTTCAGTTGGGCTTGAATGAACAAAGACTTGAGGTTCATTTTAACTGTCACGCACTTCTCCCTAAGGACAGCGGTACATGTTTCATGACAAGCGGCTCATTACATTTTTTACCACAGTGTTTTCCATAAACATCTCTTTTCCATTTACATCAGAGCTCAAATGCATCTTTGCAGGACACTAAAAAGCATAAAGTTGTACCAATTTATAGTAATGTAAATGAATAACTGATATAGTGATGTAAATGAATAACTGATATAGTAATGTAAATGAATAACTGATATAGTGATGTAAATTAATAACTGATATAGTGATGTAAATGAATAACTGATATAGTAATGTAAATTAATAACTGATATAGTAATGTAAATTAATAACTGATATAGTGATGTAAATTAATAACTGATATAGTAATGTAAATTAATAACTGATATAGTAATGTAAATTAATAACTGATATAGTAATGTAAATTAATAACTGATATAGTGATGTAAATGAATAACTGATATAGTGATGTAAATTAATAACTGATATAGTAATGTAAATTAATAACTGATATAGCCGGGGTCTCTCATTCCCTTAACATTTACTTCCTATTTGGCATCTAATACTATGAATCAACAGTCAAATATTTGTGCCTTCAATTTTGAATTCAAATGTTTGAGCATGCAGCTTAAAAAGGCAACAGCCATAATTGCAGTGAAATGTCAACCCCCCCCCACGTCCAATAGAAAAATAGCTGTTCCCACACTATGAAAACAATGTCTATGACATAAAACATGAACCACAACAGAAAGAGATTTAACGCTTGGCGTAAGTACACGACATCTCTCCAGTCCCTTGGCATCACAAGGAGTTGCTAACTACGCGGCACCTAAAAATAGCCCAGGAGAGTGCGTGAGTGAAGCGTCGTATTGTTGTCACTATTAAAAGACAATGCCTCCAAGACACTGACTTCAAGCCAACCACTGCACCATGGGATCAAGCTAGTGAATGATGAACGTGAAGTCACTCACTCATGCGGTACGGTGGCAGTAGTACTGAGTGACTACAGATGGGGTCATGGTGTGAATCAGCCAGCTGCATTCGATGGTATTTCATTTGTAAGTAATAGAATCCACCTCGTGCTCCGATGTTACGTAAGCCGTTTTACTAACATGGAAGAAAAGACAAGGGCTAATTTCACACTAAATCAAATGTTATTAGTCACATGCTTCGTAAACAACAGGTGTAGACGAACAGTGAAATTCTTTCTTACGGGCCCGTCCCAACAATGCCAAGAGAGAAAAAATAGATAATAGAAAAATAATAACACCAGGAATAAATACACAATGAATAACGCCTGGTCTCATAGACTAGACATAACATAGTAAACGTAAATCCGGGACACAGAAATTAGGATGATATGTTACGTTTGTTATGGTTACATAAGACAGAAGGTTACTTAAGGTCAAAATGAAAGGAGGGTGGTTGGTCGGCGTATTACGCGAACGTCTAGCAACCCAAAGGTTGCGCGTTCGAAATCTCATCACGGACAACTTTAGCATTTTATCTAATTAGCAACTTTGCAAATAGTTACTACATTTTAGCTACTTTGCAACGACTTAGCATGTTAGCTAACCCTTTCCCTAACTTTAACCCAACTCCTAACCTTAACCCTAACCCCTAGCTAGAGTTAGTTTATTGTCAGGATAAACAGCTCTGTTGAGATTAACACATTTAAATGAAATTAAACCTAGGACTTGCCGTAACTTGACTCTCTGCCTCGCAAGTTACTTTCCTAGACTGTCTGTGTGAAGATTACCGTCTAACCTCGTTTCACACCGTCTCATAAGTAGTAATATAAAAGCTCTTTTGATAATGGCTGTATTCATGCGAGGGGATTAGATTTCCAATCATGTGCTTATCCAAGGAGATTCCAGCCATTCAGGCTCAATTACGCTATTGATTAAGTTGCAAATTCTCCAACGAAAGGTGAGTCAAGTTGACCCCCTGCATGCCGTGAACCGCCTGAGACACTGCTGCGTTTTTACCGGGGGCAGAGAGGGTATTATTTATACAGCCTCCTCCTAATGGTGTCACTTGGCTGCTCACCGAACCCCCGCCACCTTCCCAATAGGAACCTGTTACATTTTGCTGCCCTGTATGTAAATCAACATGTTAATCAGATCTTCATCAAATTTGTTCCTAAATCATTTATTGGCTCGCATCCTATTTCCTTTCATGACTTGCAAATGAGGGCTGTGGGTGAGGAGGGGAGAGCAGAGGAGAAGGGATGGGATGGGGTGAGTGATGAGAAGGAGTAAGGGTTTAGGGGAGAGCAGAGGAGAAGGGATGTGAGGGGGCAAGAGACATGGGAGGGCGCATGATTGGATGGAAGGTAGTAGAGAGGATGGAGGAGTGTGTGAGCAGGAGGTGGATTGGTGTGAGAGTCGAGAAGGTGGGAGTGTTGAATAGGAAATGTGAGCATAGGAATAGGATGAGATTATTGGTAGAATGTAAGAATATGATGATTGAGGTGGAGCATGTAGAGAGTTTGGGGCGAGGGATGGGGAGCGAGATAGAGCAGAGAAGAGTAGGATGATGGTGCAGGGTGTCGATGTGAGCATGATAGATTATAGTGTAAAAAAGTTAAATTTTTTTTCTTTTTGGTTTGTATTTTGGGGGGTGGGGGGTTTGGCTTGTTTTTTCTTTTACTTCTTAACTTTTATCGGAATTTTTATCTTTTCTTTTTATTTCTTCAATTTTATTTATTTTATTTTTATTCTTTTTCATTTTTTTTTCTATTTTTATTTCTTATATTTATTTTTTTATTCCATTTGTACAAGCTCACTCCAAATGTACACTTGGCTCCGAACACTTCCAAAGACCTTATTTGTCCTATGTATAAGGATCAGTCTTCATAATTGAAAGCGTGGTGCATGGATGAGGTGCGGGGAGGGAGGAGAGGATGGGATGGGAGGAGGGGAGAAGGCTGGGGGTGCAATGAGGATGGTAGGGGGAGAGAGCAAGAGTGGGTAGTAGAGAAAGAGAAGGGTGAGGATGGGAGCAGGG